ATTCTATACATCTATGTTATTGTATTCAATATTTTTACAAAGTATTTACAAGGTAAAATAGTTTGTAAATCATTTTCATAGTATGTACATAGTTTGGAAGATCGATGTACATAGTATGTAAATTCCATTTTACAGATTATTTCCATAGTATTTCCATATTATGGAAATTAATTGATTTTTCCAGTGTAATACGCACTATAAATATTTCAATATACCACACTACATTATTGTATCGTTCGAAATGAAATAACAAAAAGTTATTCTGGGAAAATCTTTTCTTGGTATAATATAATTATATGCTTATAATATAACACTGTGCTGAAGCCACATTGCATGATATGGTTACAAAGACTTTGGATATGCAAGGAAAATTTTCCCCTTCATGCCTTATTTGGTGATTACCCAGAATACCTCGCTGATGGGTTTAAAATAGAATCTATGAATATTATGATTGTATAGAGAATGATTGTACCCTAGTAGCTTTGCAAAGGCATTGCAGGCTAAAGTGATGGCAATTTAGTTGCTGGCATGGTGAGAATGGACAAACTGTACTTTTGTTATTCTCACCAAAGAATAATTTGGTCAAAAATGAAAAGATCACCGGTCACCGTCTATGAAGACCATTCTATCATACAAACACACCTAGAAGACATTTTCTACCATATGTATAATCTAGGGTTCTTGAACTTTATAATCTACATCTATTGGGTATTTACATAGTTTCTTCTTAGTACGAGTGGGTACGAGTTTCTTCACTCGAGTTTAACAATGGCTGATAGCTTGCGTGTCGACTGGTAATGTCTGAATCCTTCAAGCAATAGCGACTGACTATTAATAATAATCGTACTGTTTGGGACAGAACAACGGCAACCACCAGCAAGGCAAAGGCACAAGGAAGGGCGCTCAGTAGGACTATCTCGAGTATCTTGAAACCATCGATTTGGGTTTGTAAGGGGCTTTGGAATGTCACCCCAGCAGTGATCAATACGGACTCACCCAAATTGATCGTTGCCATTACGACATGTATAGAGAGTAAGACAATAGCGAAGATGTTTGCTTTTCGGTCCTTGTAAGGCATGACGATGACGTTGTGGATGAGTATTAGCATGCAGAGTAGTGTCATACACAGAAGTCGTGGTAACAGCATTGCTATGAACGAGAATAAACACAACAGCACCAAGCGACGACCAATCAAAATGCTTTCCCAATATAAAGCGCCTTTTGATTGGTTGTCCGGTGGACGAAATGGTCCTTGTAGGACCTCCAGTAGGTCATTCTGTCGTTCTTGATCCAAATGGTTGGGATCTTCTAACACGTCTTTGTCACATCTCAAACAGCGCCTCAACAACCAGTACATCAAGAAAGGCAGGGGCACAAAACAAGCTGCAACAAATTGCAATGCGCTTATCTGATGCCGTTTTAACTTTGAAGTTCCCACAAATAAAACCAGAAGGAATGGAAGTACAAACACGATGTTGTAAGCGATTATGACGTACTGCCACCAATGGACCCAGCACGTAATGTTACCATCAATCACCAGCCGCCATTCGATTTTCCCAAGCATATCAAGTGGAACGCAGTTCAGAAGCTTGAACGACGTGTGCCCCAATCGTTCATAGCCTAAAATCAGAACCTCAACGATGGCAGCAAGGTAATGAGCAAAGTGTGGACTGGGACTCTTCCAGATCAAGGAGAATAACCAATGGAGAAAGTAAAGCAAGACAACAATTACCATGACAGCAAAGACTTGTGAGCAACGGAAAAGCTCCTTGGTGACGGCAGTTAACCCTGGAAACGGGCACCCAAACGACGAATTACTAACGACAACTTCAAAGTTAAAGAATGAGGTGATTGAGGATAACAATGACAATTTAGGTACAATCTCCGAATAAGATTCAAGCATAAGCAGTTCAGCAACCTGGTAGAAATAGAAGATAATCTTGAAGTAAGCATGTCCATCGTGATTGCTTGTTTTTTCCATGTGGTCCACCCTGGTGTTTGGAATGGTATGCTTCTTTTCCCTGAACCATAGAGCCTTCTTAGTAAGGAATAAGATCAATGATGGCTGACACAGAACAAAGATTGCTATGATTACGGAATGCACAGCAGCTACAACCCAAAACCAATAATCTCTACACTTATGAACGGGGCAACACTTATGATTGAACATGTTTTCAGTGTATCCTGTCTTACATGCTCCACACATCGTCCCTCCTCGATGGCCAGCACACTTATTGTAAGTTGAAAGATTATAACTGCGTTCAGGCTGTTCGCAGTATCCTTCTGGACATTTCTCAAACTTGAGTTGCGGGGGATTTTCCTGTGTCTTGTAGCCCCAGAAATTTGGCCGACTTTGGATGTTACTAGTTGTACACTGGGCACCAAAGGGACAGTCGAGGCATTTGACATCGTTTTTCTTTTGCTTTCCTCGATATGATCCACTCATGAGCGTATATTTATTAAAAGGGCACCTTTGGCAGCTAAATCTCAGTTGTATAATGGTCAACTTGCAATTAGCTTCATTTAAATCAGGACGGAGTACAAATGTGGCATTGAACAATTTGAGATAGCTGCCAACTGGACATACAAAAGTCGTTTCATTATCCATGTCAACATCATGTCCTCGTAAGAGGTCAAACATAGGAACTGTAACTGGTGTATAAAGATCAAACTTGAAACTCGTGTTTTTCATTATCAAAGGTCCTTGTGCTCCAACGAAGAGTAGAGGCGACAAGGGCACTAAAGATTTTAGTCTGCGCGGATTTTTCTTTGTTTGAATGAATCTAGTGTGATAGAATCTTGCCGTAGTTGCTCCTTTCTCCACGTACACATGACCTCCGATTTCTGGTTGGGAAGAAAAATTTTCCTCAAACAAACAATTGTGAAAAGAAACAATTCCACTGTTCACAAAGAGGGTCGAAGTAACGGCGGTATTGTTTAAGAATGTAACGTTATCGAAGATGATTGTGCTACGGTAATGATATTTTGGGCAGCTTTCGTTTGGAGATGGACTAGCTTTCATGTTGATATCTTCAATGTCGGGTAACGCTGGAGGGATGTAAAAATAAAACAGGTTTATAAAAGCTGTGTTATTTTGTCTGAAAATGTGGCGGTTGTTTTTGAATACTGAATTGCGGACAACTATCGTGAAATTGCGTTTGCTCGGAGTACTGACAACTCCCAAGATATTTCCATGAGCCCGTGAAACGTAATTAGACGTGAAATATACATGGTCCATTAATAATCTGCCCGATTCCAAGGTATTCTTCATACCGCTTCGTCCGACTTGTATTACAATACCATAGGTTTGATAATGGTTTTTGTGAAAAGTGGTGTTCTTTATAGAAATCTCTATAAACGAAGGTTTGGCGTTTTTGAAATGCACGTTATATTTATTTTCATTGAATCTGCAATTTTCAATATAAAGTGTTGAGTTCATCATTATCTTCGTTGAACACTGGATAAACAGGCAGACACCCATTGTAGCTTCACAAGTAGAATTTCGCACATACACTTCTACCAGCTTGTGAGTCATGATTGTCACTCCCGTATTTCTCAGAAACAAAGACTTTGAAATGTTAAGAATTGATTTTTGCATTTCATCTGGCAACGACACACATAATTCTACGGTAGGCTTGGTGCCAGCAGAAAAGGAATTCTTGATAAAACTACTGTTGCTTATTTGGACATCCAATATATTTTCATTATATTGCCCACCACTTGTGTGTTGAATGAGCAAGGCTTGGTCTTTATTGCGCGTGAAGCGAGAGTTTTTAATTGTAATTTTTGCAGTTTCACTTGCTTGAAGACAAAATGCTGGGAATCGTTTGCATCTTTGTTTCATGCACAACTGCGAAGGATCGTGGCATTCTTCTACTTCCAGCCCATCAAATAGTGCAAAAATCCTCTTCACAGTTCCGACTGACACAGCGCATCCATTGACGCTTCCATAACATTGCAATAATGTGACATTGTTCATGTTTAATTTAACACTCTGTTCCTTTTTACCGTCCACCTGAAGTATACCTCCCAATGAACCAGAATTATTGTGGAAAATCGAATCAGTAATAGAGACAATTACATCTCCTTTTGTGCAGCTGTTTTTTTTCACGCGCATTACTCCCCCTGGTTCATTTATGTGGTGTTCATGGTAACTTGAATTTTGTATGCTTATAGAAATACTATCACTTTTTGCTTCCAAAAATCTCAATGAGTTTTGGTTGTTCATACTTGCCACTTCAGAAAAAGTAAGATTTCCATCACATCCATCAACAACAAAAACATTACTTGTGCCATTTCCAGAAAGCTCTTTATTCTTAAAATCGCGATCGTTTTTTCTGATTTCCTTGTTGTTGCGATTTTTCAGTATTTTGACATTTTTCCACGATGAGAAAAATAGCATTTCTCTTGCGAAGCTGCAGTTTACAGATATCAAGCCACTTGCATCCATACCTGATTTTACCGGCGTTGTGTTATTTTGAAATATTGTGTCTCGTAGATTCATGATGATGCTGTTGCAGGTTCTTCCTTTCTTGACACCGACTTGGATGCAGCCAAGATTTTCCGTGAATACAGCATTTTGAATATCCAAAGAATATGATGAGGAAGCGCCGTTCAAAATGTTTACTGTAATTGCAGGCGCCGAGGCTGTAAATATACAATCTCTAATCACAGCAGATATGTCTTTTAAAAAGAGTAAAGTGTTGCTGAGTTGTACTCCAGTTATGGTGACGTTTTTGTCAGCATTTGGGCCATCTGCAGTCACAAAGAATCCTTTGATGCATGAAATGTGAGCGGTCGTTGTGTAGCTCTGAATGAAAATACTCTTGGTAGACACAAGTTTTTCTGCAGATGATTCACACTTGTAGGGGTCTACTGCAGTGTGTTCACCATCAACGAACAGCCTACCACCCCATGCAAGCTTGTCGACACCGACTTGTAGAGATTTACATGGCATTGACTCGCTACCGCACGAATCACTGTTTGCTTGCCCTCGAGCTTTGGACACATATATCACTTTATGCAATCCCATTTGTTTACAGTCTAAATAAAAACACAGTTTACAAGTGAAAATAAAACTCTTTTAAGTACACAAGTAAGTAAAAGAACTAGGATTGACAAGCATTTGAAGGAGCTCTGTCAACTGCAAATGCTAGAAGATGCAGCACCTTTCCCGCTAGGACTAATTTAGAAAATTCACTGCTTTCCTTTAATTGTATTTTTCTATCCGCTTAATCAACATGCATTGAACGATATACTCAAACAAAACTGAAAATGAAATATGAACAGACAATAAAATGTTTCGCTTTTAATTTGTGGCTATGATTGTTCAATCATCATTGATGGCTTCACAATCTCTTCAGTTATCACTCAGACTACAATCGATATTACAAAAACAGATAAGTTTAACCATATCACACTCGACAAAAACGTAATTTCCTTGTTACGCATTTTCCTTTACGGCTACAATTGTATAATTTTCGAATGTTGTATCAGCACAAATCTTCCCTTTTTGTCTGTAATGTTATATTATTTAGAAACATATTTCATAATGAAAATATTTTTCAAAACATTTCAAGTTTGCATTCATCACAGAAAAGAATTAATATCAGTATCTTATGACTTCCCTTGTAGGTAAAGAAAATGGCAATCATTTGTAAGTTCGATTATAGTCTAGTGTAACAGTGATAATATATTGACGGAAGTTTTGTTACCATCTGAATCGTTTTTAAACTATTCGCATTGCTAGAAAAAAAAGAGAACTTTTTAAATTACCAATTTATCCATCGCTAGCTTTGCAAACAGTATATCTAATATCACAAGCGCTTTTCGCAACAAAGTGCAATAACTATAACGTATTATCTATAGAATTATTTGAAATTCATTACCTATTAATCCCACGTAGAACAGGTTGGACGACAATGCCAGGTAAAGAAATATGATAGCCATAAGCATCTTGGTTTTCACGATGGACTTAGTTTTACTTTCATTAGTTCACTGTGCGATATTTTGTACACCGATGCTGTAAAAATATTTCTTGAAATCAGTAACGGAATTCATGACTGAAATAAATTATTCGTCTTCAATCTCAGCGTCAGAGGAATTCCTTTCGTTACCATGAGGGCGAAAATAACTCATCACGTGATCTCCTAACGTTCCCTCAACTGAAGCTTCTCAGTTTTTAAAGGGATGACAAAAAAATGCATGAGAATAAATAGTTCAAAACCTTGCTACAGAGTTTTTTCAATCGTTTATTTAACAATAAACGTTTGTGGATTGTATCAAAATACATTTAATCTTTAATTCAGTACTGGTGATGTCATTTAAAACTTAATTTCAAAATTATTTTTACTAATGGTTGACATGAAGGTTAATATGTATTTGGCCAGCATTTAGTATTGCTATTTACAGCAAATACGTACTCAACTGCCTCGAAAACGTCAAACGTCAGAATAATTAACATATTGAAATCACTTTATGTTTTTGATTAATACTGAACCAATTTTATCAGTCAAAATATATTAAACATTCTCAGTTTACAAGAGAATTTTTAAAATTCCTCATCAGTTTCAACAAGCAATAACAATTGCCATTTCGAACACAAAACATGCATACAGAAAGATTCTAGGAATAAGTTTCATTTTTTTTTACTATAGAAGAGTATTTCTATACTAACGTGTGTTTAGTATCAGTATACCGAAGTCGATATAAAAAAATTGCATTTGGGAGTCTTTAGGTGGGTAATTCATGGCGGTAAAATAGAAGCAGACAAAAATTTTGGGTAAGGGAGTCAACAAAACCGCGTGTGCATTCCAACATGGGAGGGCCAAGAAAAGTTGAGTACGTCTTCTACCTTGATTTACGCCTCTCCCTTAAAGTTTAAGGCGGTTCCTTGATTATGCGAGCAAAATGTAACAATAATAGGTGCGGAATCCAGAAAATAAGCTGGAAATCCTTATCTTGTGATAGCGATCTTCCACATCTCAACTATGTGTTTTAGCTTTGCATTATCAGGAATGCAGTACACACCAGCAACGTGTTCCAGTTTTAATTCGTCCATGTACCACTCAATGTATGTCTTGAGACTTAAAAAAACAAATTGCAATAAACTGGTAAAACATATTTGTATAGATTTTTTAGGTGATACAAGAAGTCAATGCAAGTCCTTCAAAGTTGTGTCCAACTGAACAACAAACTACGAATGCCTTGCATTTGCAAGACACTTGAACATGTATAACCTTATTTATTTCGAGTTGAGGCAATTAATAGGCGAGTCAGTTTGTTTACGTGTTTCCTCATTTGCATAAATGTTAATTGAACATCGTGCTACTAATCGCAAACGAAGAAAATATTATGTTGAGTAGTTGGTCTTTGAAGTTATAGAACTTTGAAACTAAGCATAGTTAACGAAAAATGTATGCGATTTACTGGTAGTTTGTTTGTTGCTTGAAGTTGGATTAATCATAAACGACTTCAGCGAAGATTCGGCCCTATTTTTTTGCAAGCTCTAGGGCTTGGTGCCTTCGTGGCGATTAGTTATCTAGCAGAAAAAGGGGAGCGAATAAAGGGGGAAGTTTGGTGACTTCTTACCGCTCCTGAAAAGGGTTTGCCCTGACAATAGACAACTAAGGAGGTTACGCGATAAATTTGATTACATTCTACCAGGAGCAGAATATTCATTCTTAAGGGATGGGAAAGTTACATAACTTTCAAGTCTTTGATACAGCTTGGAAACGAGGGATACGAGGCACACCTGCTAAATGGTTAGACCTTCAAGTCTTCTCAGACACGGACTTAAAAACCGTAGGCCCCGTCTGTCTTCACTATATAACCCTGTATAAGGCGGACGTATAAAAGAAACACTGAAGGCGCTGGTGACGACCATCATCAGTGCCCGCAGTAATTGGCTATGATGTTGTGGTGTCCCTGCCCTCATGGGGAAAAACTAAATAAATGAATAAAGAAGGGAGATAAAATTTTACCTCAAATTGCCAATGTCCATATCATCCTTTAAATGAAGTACTATCAAGTCTAACAAAATAGTCACTAGCAAGTCATGAGAATCCTTGCTTAGTTTCTCCAAACTGTCCTTCCATGCCTGCTCCACTGATTTATCCTCCAGACGAGCTTTAAATTCTGAAGACAACTGCTCAAAGGGATCCTATAATAGAAGAAGGATAGGTACAGGATGTTTTGCGCGTCTAGAGGGCAAAAGGCACGAGAAAGCCGGAAACAGAGGCAAAAACAGATTTTCGATTCCTCTTAAGGAAATGCAAACAATAGCAGCCAAGAAGAAGTCGTTTTCCCATTCGATTGTGTGGTCAGTTTTACCATAAGATTGACGTCACACTTTTAAGCTATATACTAATCAGCCATGTGGTGGCGACTGTAAAAACCCAGGTATTATACTAACAGGGTATTCGTAATCCTTAAAAACCAACCACGCCCTATTTTTATTGTTTGATGTCGGGTTTGAATTTCGATGGAAAACCTGCTGAATTCAAAACCCGGGACAGGTTTTCCATCCAAATTCAAACCCTACATGAAACATTAGAAATAGGGCTTGGTTGGTYTTTAAACCAGTTCAAACGCATGTGCTCGGGTTCGCATTGCAAACCCTCGCCCTAGCATATCTAAAGCTAAGGCCTCCTATATTTACCTGTCCCCTTCTGGTCAAGATCTTTGCCCTCTGAATAGTCAACAGTCGCCAAAGAGAGATTGAGTGTTGAAGCTGACAAACCTCCTGTGCCTAAAATCGTAATATCGTCATTTACACTGAAATTCTACTCGGAACATATTGCGGCTCGCTACGAGTCAGGCAGAGGCGGGGACAAAGCGCCGCCATGGTCTCCAACCCCCAATGTCTCATTTAGAAGAAAGCCCCTCTCCTGGCCCCCTTGTGAAAAGTTTGTATGCACTTCGAATTCCCACCTTGGTATTGTGCAAATCAGATTCTTCCGGTATYATCAACACATGCTGGATATATTCGCTGATCGGCATGGCAGGGTTTCCGCCTCCTGAGGCTAGGAAAGTTATGGCAGTATTCAACGACGATAAAGCCTCGCAAACGTCTTCTAGAGATCGGTATTGTTGTATTATCTGATTCTTGATAGCGACAGACAGCTCGACCTACGAATTATAAGAGCGTAGTGAATACTGAAAAAATCCTATTGATACGAGCACAAAAGAGGATTATTGCAGTTACCACGAAAAATCTATTCCGTTTAATGAGATTAGCACACCATTATATCATCCAGTGTTTTGTTACACCAGGCAATGCTTGACGCCTGTCGCTATTTCGGGAATAAGGCGGCCGATGGATACTTTTGAAGAAATGAAAGAATTGAGGAGGGGGTATCCCTCGGCCACCCCACTCAGAGGGCTAAGAGCAATCTTAAAGAAAAAACAGGATTCAGAATAACTTCGCATATTTCAAAAGTGGTAAAATCAGTTAAAGATTTTTAATTTCTTGACCATTTTTTGTGGGGGCGGCAAAAAAAATACCAAAGTATTGAAATTGTGCTGCAAGAAATCACTACAAGTCATGGCATCACCGTATACTTGTTTAATTGCTTATCATGTATTAAACCAACTACGGGGCACACTAACCATATATTCTCCCTCAGATGTGATCAG